CAAGAGTGGATGAGGAACTACAACTGTGGCTGAAGGGAGAGGCTGAGGGTTATTGGGACACCATCTAAACTAAAACCGGCCAAAAGTGAAGAGCCTCAAGACACCATCTTAGGTTCACTAATTGTTCTTCTTTACATCAATGGATTACCGCGACTGCTTAAATCATCGACATTATTGCTTTTACATAATGTCGAAATCTGTAGAAAAAAGTTTGTGAAACTAATTATTTTGATCTCGAGCTGAAAAATGAATCAGGTAAGTGTTTCACAATTGAGAGCCTAGAAATCAATTACGGTGTGTTAGTGCACACTGGACATGTCAACATTCGCCATTATACTCTCGACGGTACGTCGCTTCCACAAGTGTGTGAACAGAAAGACTTAGGAGCGAAAGGACGTCGCAGCCTAAAAACGACTACACGTTGCAACACGACAGCCACTAAAGGCTTCCGAGTTTTGTGGTTGCTTCGTTGATCATGCAAATGCTTGAAAGTTTCAGTTTGGAAAGGACTGAGGGCTAAACAGTCTGCGTTAATCTTGGCAACGGTGATCTCTTGGTCAAGTCACTGTTCTTTTGAAAGCATCGAAATAGGGAGCTTCAATAACGTGTTGAAGTAGTGAATTCCATTCGTAGACGATTCGATGAGAAAGTCAATAGTCAGCCGACGAGTAATCTGTTCTGAGCTTATGAACATTGTTATAATGTCCTTTTAATTTCTATGCTTCGGAAAGCAATAAAAGTGAGGGAATAACAGATGTAAATTTATTACTAAATTACTTATAAGCTGTGATCAAGTCCCCTCTGGTTCTTTAGTATGACGATAGAAATAGATTTAGTTTAGGCCGTCGAGCACCATACTATAGCTTCACTATTCCGGGAATCAGCTTACTTGTGATTCTTTGAGCCTTCTCCGTTGGCTCACTGTCTCTTTATAGTCAAAGGCTAACTTCTTGTATGCGATGCTAGATTTTAAGACGAATGAAGCATCGATATGGATAAAGGCTCTACGTATTGACCATCGGGTTCTAAAACGTTTGACAGTTGTCGCACGGCAGTGTGAAGTGGTTTTTGAGTATTGGCTAACGATGACTGCTAGGTTATTGCATATCTGAACAACAGACAGGTCACTGTTATTCAACGTGTATGTATCTGTACCTTGGTTAACAATACGCATCATAATGCATTTTGAAGCATTTGTCAACAACTACTAAATTTCAGACCATTCGAATAATTTTCAGGTAATTTTGAAGCTCCAAACTATAAATTCCACTTTTTATCGCTCCCAAAATCTTGACATCATCAGCATATAACAAAACCCGTGATGATATGAAGGTTATTTATATACATGAAGATCAACAATGACCTCGAAAATGTACCCTGAAACACTCCGCTAGTCACAGTTTCTCAGTTAGACAACCTGGGGTTCACCTATACTCTTTATTGACGCCCAGCTAGGATGTATTTTGTCTACATTATCAAACCGCCTCCAAACACAATAGCCCTTAACTTATATGACAGCCAGTCGAGAGGATCTTTGTCAAGAGCCTTGCTGAATTCAATGCAGGCTACATCTACAGGTGGCTTTTTATATTTAAGAGTGCACTGACATTGAAGGACTACTCATGAGTTTATGAGACATGAATAACCTGCTCTAAATACGTGCTAACACTCAGAAAGAACCCAGTTCTTGCCGAGATACCTAAAACAATTCCTCCCGATAATCCTTTCTAAAATGTCAAAAACCATTCTAGTTAGGCTAACGAGTCGAAAGTTGTCAGGTTTATATCTCGTGGTTGCTTTGATGATAAGACTTACAAAAGCATTCGTCTATTATCTTGTCAATAAAACCCTGGGTTACAGATAGGTTAGAAAATACTCTTAAGAGATTCTCGACGAAATTCGTTTATTCATTTAGTAACTCAGTATGCATTTCATCAATTCCCATGGATTTCCATATATCAGGACGTCAAGTACTTTACTAATCAAAGTGTATAGAGTGTGTGTGGATGGTTGTTAGAACTGGTGGGGAGGACGTCTTTGCGGTTCATACATTGCTGAAGTAATTTGAAAATACCTGAGATTTATCGTAATTGTCCTCCACTGGTAGGGAGACTTTGGTTCTATTCACTGATATATTAAGGATGGTGAGCATATAATACCCTATACATTTGCTTTCCACTCGTTTGGTTCGGTTTGGGCTAACATATGGTCGTCATTGATAAATATATGGAAATAAAAGACTAGAACCGCATGATCACATAGGGATGGCATATAATGAAGGTTCGTGACGTCATCCTCATATTTGGTCAGTATGAGATATATTTATTATGATTTGAGCTATGGGCTGTACCCAGTTGCTTCTTTCACATGTTGCTCTGGGGCACATGTGATTACTTCATCAATTTGTTTTCGTTTGAAAGAGTTTTATGACAATTCAGTCTTCAGATTTTTCCAGTCTACTGTAGGTGCATTAAATTGTTCCAAGATTAAACACTGATCACCTGATGAATAATTGTTGAAACCTCCTAGCAAAACCTCATTCACCTCACAGGTTGGACTGCCGCAGACGGAATCAATCAGCAGCTCTTGTCCTTTGCATTTCAATTGACAACTAGCTTGTTCGCACGTCACACTCCAATTCCATCTGTTATCGAAAACGGCAGACGGGATAGTCTTTCGGACGAACAGAACTACTCCTCTCTTGTAATTCTGGATCCTGTTAGTTCTTACTAATGTGAAACTTCCAAAAACAAGTTCCCCACTATGTATAGATAGAATCAACCGAGTCTCTGCAACAGCAATTACATTCAGCTCATTAGGGATTATCCTGAAGCACTAGCTGGTTTAGTAGCTCACTTATCACCCCAGTGTCATGTTCAGCACGAGTTCTGCTTTTTCACTCTCCTTAACTATATGAAAGACAAATGACTTTTCACCATGATCAATCTTCAAGTTCTTAACTATTGATTGAAGGACTGTCTTTCCTTTAGCAACATTAGGTCGTTCCTTATATCTGATTTGTACCCATTTATTGGCTTTCATTGGAGTAGCAATCAAAGTCAAGTTACACACAGTGTGGGATCCTGGATGACTACCGACAGATTGTGCAGCTAGGTTGTTGTTCCTGTTAGAAACGGACCTAACAATACATTGAGGTTTTCTAGGCGTTTCCTGCTCGTTGACATTTGGAGAGCGGTGGATAAAAGAACCTTCAATACTACGGCTTTTATTTTCAACAAATCTCTTTATAAGTCGCTCTTAATCCGTTGACCCATGTAATTCAATCGACTCATAACTTATTCAGTGTAACTTCACATGACTTTGCGTATCGGCCGAACGAGTACTGTTTGATGTGCCTCGATTACGCTTGGTAATAGTCCTACAAGCAGAATCCCCCAATTTTAGTGGCTTCGCGCTTGAACAGCGTTTGTAACACAACCACAAGCAACTATTTTAACAAGCCGTTTGAAAGCTACAGGGGTCTTGTTCGTAGAAATTTCATGGTACCGTAATTTGCACTCATTGCACTGTATGCCACATTCCACAGTGCATCAACAGCATGAGCATTGACTATTGCTTTTTTACACCGATTAGTCAATAGTCAGAAGTTTTTAAAAAGAAACTAGGCGCAAACAATATCCACAGAGAAAATGGTCAGAAAATGTGAAAAACTAAATTTTAAGAACCAAAAGTGCAAATAAATACAAAATGAACCAATGTACTCAAAAGTTGCTGACGATAGAATACTTTCAATAAAACGATACTCTTGACGAATACTGACGGAAATAAATTCAGTTAAAGCGAATAGAATAATTATGATGCACAACAAACGATCAAAGCAATGAAATTAGCTGACCGAGGAAAATTACGATTGTTCTCCTTAAAGGGCGCGGCTAAGCGTTTTTATATCCCATTTACGTAAGGCTAAACCTAGACTACTGTGTCCAAGCATCCATTCCACGTCTTATGAAGGATATTGACTCAGTCGAATGAGTTCAGCGTGTATGAGCACAATTAGTGAAGGATCTTTCCAAACTTCCATAAGCCGAGCGCTTAAATCTCTAGAAATTTTCCTCTTGATCATATCGGAGAACGCGTGGTGACCTTATATTGTAACCCCATATCTTTAATAACGATGTTATCCTCAATATACCTCATCGTTTTACTCTCTCTAGAAATAATCACTTCTGAGTCCATTCTGAGAAGGTTCAATTACTGTGATCTCATAAATTTAGAATGAGTTTTCGTTTTTCTCATCGAGTAGTCAGTATCTAGAGCGCTTTTGTTGAACGTGGTATCAACGCCATCAGGAAGCATTTTTAGGGAGAAGACGAATCTTCACTGAAAAACAAGCTGCAAACATTAACACAGGACCATAGATCTATTATCCTTCTTATTGAAGAATTGCTTCGTGAAAAAAGCTTTCAGAATACCTTTTATAATTATTTCGAAGAAAATCTACGTCAAAATATATTCAGCACTCACTCAGGAAATAAATGGAAAATATTGGGCTTTGTTGATAACCTAAGCTATCTTGACATGACTTCAAGGTCAGGTCGGAGCTCAATTTTTGTTTTCGTTTCACGTAAGTGTTGTGAACCAGGGCGGTTTAGTGTGGAATATCACCTTGTTCAATTTAGTCGTCTTATTAATTTTAAGCACTACTAGTCAATGTAATATGTGTCGATTTCTGGTCGGTTGAGTAGATAGATAAGTGTTATTGCGTAATAACCTAAAGTCCGCGCAGGTCACATTCAGCACTTTGGCAAGGAACTTCCCAACGTCATATAATTCTTACCACAAACATACGAGATAACTCGTGAAGACTTTCATGAGGACGTGCTTTGATTCAACGTTGAGTTCCAACGAGAACCCAATAAGACATTGCAATATTTCCTTTTATCACAGTTGGTTTGAAATGTCTCTGAATCTACGCCTAATTGTCTACTTATCGCCTAAATGCACACCGACTTGTTAACTTTATGCACGATTATTTGTTAGCCCAAGTACCTATGTTCTTTACTTCCATCACAAAAAGCATTTAAACACATACTGCATTTACAAAATTATAGTTTTAAAGAAATATTTACAAGAAGTGGGTTCACAGTTTACGAGATCAATAGCTGGGAGGTGTTCGTTACACGTCTTCTTTTTTGGTGCAAAGTTTTGCTTTCATTGACAACTTTGAGGTTAGAAGTGACGATATAATTTATGGGTGGCATTTGGGCTTTCCATGTTTAAAATGAGATCATAAGTTAATGTGAAAAGTTAGCATTATGAATCACGGTTAGAAATTAGAATTAGGTCTTTACGAATTGATAACAGCCATTATGCTGGAACACTGTTAATCCATATAGACGAGTGAATTTCGCGCCGAAGTTCAAGTGGTTGTATGTGGAACTTGGTTGATTCTTTTATTAATTGTAGTTCCTGTGAGACGAGCAAAAATAGGAAACCTCAGTGTTGGTTCGTACAATCAGATATGAATAGATATAAGCCCTCTCAATATCTTAGCTTTTTTCTGCATAAGTTTTAAAATGTTTCTTAAATTCAGTCATACTCCGATGTGTGCTACTGATGTCGATATATATGTGGTGTCACTAATCAGAAGTAGAATGCCTGGCGGCAAAAGGCTGAGAAGATCGAAAAGAGGAGAACGAGAACAGAGTGATTAGTATGAAAAAAGGAACAAAATGTCCGAAACAATTAATGAGTAATTTGCAAATGAAATACCTACTGTATGGTTATTAGTTTTGTGCTGTTCCTTTTTCTTACAGATAAAGGTACTAAAAAAATATCCCACTCATAGTTTTTGCTATCACACCTTTAATGTTCTTTATTTCTAGGTAATACATCAGGTACGTTTCTTGGGATACATTAGAAATGGACTCACTTTTGGCAAATATAAAATACTCAAGGGACGCAGTTATTCCCTTAATGAGTTTTGCGAAGAAATGGTAAGCACAATATTGATCAAGTACTTACATTACCAGGCGCCGACCAGCTACAGCTTGGACCATTACCGCTGGTATGCTGTTCGTTTATATTACCGATTGGAAAACGATATGCACTCGGATTCCATTTTATAATCGTAAATTCTTGGATTCAGATGAATGAAACATTGTTTAATTTCAAAGCGACCCCGAAGACTTAAAAATAAGGAAGCACGCAGTTCCTCAGAAATTTTTCCAGTCAACTAGTTGATACTATAGCACAGTGGTCTTAACATTTAGCATATTCCAGAATACATATTTATTAGAATTAAAACTTTAAAAAAAGGGATAAATTGTTTCATTTTGGTTCTTTAATTATAGTTTCCCTTAAAAATATCAGCGAGTGTTAAGTCTATGTGTTCTCAGGACACTTCTAAATACTTTGTTAATTTTAGGAAACGCGGCTATATTTAAATTATTAGTGCAACTATAAAATAATGGGAAATTGTGTACTAAAATGAAAATACTTTGGGATAAACAAGTTTGCTACCTTCAAGTAGTCAGATGAATTATTTAGTAAATCACAAGAGACAATAATTTTATTTTATTTGAACACATAAATATTGTTAAGAAGGGGCATCGAATACATATGCGCCACACAAGTCGCTTGATTTGTGTGTAGGCTGTGACACTGTATGGCTGCGTGGAATAAAACAAATGAGTCGTTATTTGTTAAAATAAATACATTTACGTTATTGAGATTAGTTTCGAGCTGCGTCCTCATGAAACCTACCCGTCTCAAACAGTTGTCGACTATCATTGTTGTGCTAATCATCCTTAAATATATCATCTAATTGTGGAATAGACTATAATCTAACATGGTATTTAGCTAGCCACTTCAGTCGTTTTCGCTGTTTTATTCGTTCTATTCAGTTTGTCCTACGTGAGCAAAACACTAAAACTCATAATGTTTAAAGGTAAGATTATTTTGTAATGATCCCGCACAGATCCTGTATCTTATCAGGAAAATCTGATTCGTACGTATTTTAGATCCAATCTTATCATAAAATCTCTATATAATTTTGTGGGCCATAATAAAAGATATTTTAGGTTAGTTTTCGTGTTATGATTGGTCATAACAGACAGGAGCTGAGGAGAGAAATAATTTTAGTAATTTCCTACAGTTGTTGGCAGTCACTGTGCTACTGGTTATGGTGGACGTTATTGGTCTGATTAACACAATGAGAACGACCTGTTGGTGGGCCGAAAAACGAATTAATCTTCTCTATTGAGATCACGAACCAATCCAGGTTAAACTGGTATTGAAAATCTAGAACTTTCCGTCCTAGTGTGAGGCACGTCAGCAGTGTATTGACAACTGGAACTGTTCTCGCACGCGAATGCCTTAGCTCTAGACAATTGGTCTGGAACCCAATGATGTTTGGTCGCACAATATTGTGGATTTATTGAAGTTAAACTTGAACACCATTTGATCACGACTTTGTGGTCTAGAGGTAAACATCCGCGCACGAGGGTCCCGGACTTGATTCCCGTTGTGAAGTTATGGACACGCAAGGCTGGGAAGCCCCATCCTAGGAAAAAAACAGTTGTTCAGTGCTCCTAGCGTTTTAATAGTTGTGAGACGTTGGTCGGTTTGATTTCAATAAAATTCAGCAACCTCTACAATTCTATACCGACGATATATATAATGTTGAATTCACAATTAGACCATATTTTTTACGTACAGTTTTTTCCACTTCAACGTCAGTAATTCATCTTGTTAATTTAATTCCATCCTGGTATGATGTAGTGACTGGAATCGATTCATATTATTTGCGTGAGGTTTTAGGTTATTAATTGACTACTGAAAAGCAACAAGTTTGAACTATTTCATTTTGACCAAACAGAAGTTGAAGATTGAATATTTTATAAACTGGATATTCATTTTAGTACTTTTTTTATAAATAAAAAACAAAGCGCATCAAAAATACTCTTTCTGAATTTCCGGAAGTAAGACTTCAAAGAAAACAGAGTAATGATGACAATGAGACATGGTAATGTTCTTCATTATCTTCATCATATGGGGGTTATTGTAAAATTACTTATAGATTTAATCGAGAGGATAAATGGTCCTTCTTGGCCAGGTCGATAAGTGGAAACAATTACATTGTATACACCACCAGAGAGACCAGCTTGTTCTAGAACAACATATCCTCTTCTATAAATAAATAAGAGAATTTAAAGTCATTGACTATTGAAAATGGGGTAATAAGAAAATTATTGGCAGATTGTGTAACAAAAGCATTAAATATATATCACAAATGTTACTCGTTTTCATTATAATGAATATTGCAAAATCAACCGATTTGACAGAATTATCGAAGTATTTTAACTGTTCACATGATCGACCCCAAGTAGATGATAGATTATAGGAATTCAAAGATAGTATTAGTTTACATAATATTTAGCGAAAGCATAAGTCTATGAGTTGACTGTTAGTTAACAAATGAATAAACAATTCTGAAAACGGAAGGTCACAACAAAGTAATCAATAAAATTTCGCTACCGCTCGACGTAACTGAGAAGTCTTATATTCCTTTTTTTAAACAATAGGCAAAATATATACGGAATCGAATGTAAAACACAGATATTTAACAATAATAATGTGGAATCAAATGTCCAGTATATTGTATAGATTTCTAATACTGGTTAATAAAACAAACGAGTAAATCTGATGATAAGATTGTTAATCTTTACCGACTGAGGTGGTTGGGAATTAAGTTGCTTATGCCCAACAACCGCTTACCGCAACAGGTAATTCTAGTTGTAGATTCAAGTTCAAAGGAAGCTAGAGGGTGGCCAAATAAAAATGCGATATTTATAATTTCATAGACTGTTGGTCTTACTCGTGTTGGGATCCTTTCAGTTACCATACCTAATGGTTTCCGATGCCTCAGGATTTGTTCCAATACAACAGATGGAATCACTCTTTGTCGTGTGTCATATCTTCAGTTTTAAAATTGTCTGCCACTTATTCCGCGAATTTATTTCATATTGTCTATGCCTAATATTTTCTACTACCAATGGTACCGTTACTAATTCTACTACTCTAGCGTTTGTTTTAATAATTTAGTCTCACTGTGGCGATATGATGTGACAACTTGAGCCAATACACACACATATTTATCAAGTTCTACGGTGCTTGTGAGTAACTGAAAATTATCACTGAAATTCCAGTATATGATACTAATAATCCCGATTCTAAACATTGCTTACTATAAAATTTAATGTTAAATAGCTGAAATCAAAGCATTTTAAAGACCAGCTACGCTAGATACCATTTATTATATATTCTATTTGAACATATAAATATTGGTACAAGGAGGCACCAGATACACATGCGCCACACAATAATAATGAGAATGGGAAGAAATAAAGTAAGCTGCCTGTAAAAAGAACAATAACGACCACAAATTAGTGTATGTTAGTGAAATATTAATAACGATGAAGGAAACAGAAAGAATTCTTTCAGTTAGAGAAGTTACGGTCACTTTTTATGGAGAAAGTAAAAGGTTACAGTAGGGTCGCCACTGGCTTCTATTGTGAGCCACATCTGATAACGTCTCTAGCCACTGTGTTGCACCATCTCTAGGACCCCAACCAGGGAGTCTATCAATAAAAGGACGAGTATACTGCGCGGCAGTCCGTTCTGTTTTAATTTACGGCAGCGAAACATGGACATTAAGAGTAGGAGACACTCGTAAGCTACTAGTATTTGACCATAGATGCCTTAGAAATATTGCTGGCGTCTGCTGGGATCACCGAGTAAGTAATAGTGAGGTTAGACGCAGGGTATTAGGTTATGATGGTGAATCAGTTGATGAGGTTGTGAATCTTCATCGACTGGGATGGTTGGACCACGTGTTACGTATGCCTGAACACCGATGACCATGACGTGCAATGCTAACCGGTGTTCGGGATGGTTGGAAGAAAGTTAGAAGCGGCCAAACCAAAACGTGGTATCAGTGCTTGAAGTCACTAACTTCTGTTCTGAGCCATGTTGGTAGATGCAGACTACTTGGTTGGGGTCTGCGTGACTATCGTAACCAATGGTTGGAGACTCTTGGTGACATACCTCAGAATCGATCACAATGTCGTCGGTGTATACACTCTCTGTCTACCCTTAAATTAAGAGATTAAAATTGCTTCATGTCTTTCTTTCTACGAACTAATTCTTTCTTCCTGTACTATATCCTTATATGCAATCTTTCTTTTATATATTACCACCTCTGAATTAACTACTTTTATGAATCCGGTGTCCATATTGCTGTATTAATGAGGTATGGCAACTTGGACCGATGCATATATGCGCGTGGTCCTACGTTGTAGCTGACTGACTGAGGGAGTCGTAGAGAAACAATAGAAACCAGTCCTGTGCAGCTTTCTTTCATACAATTACACTATGTCATACACTGACCACCTCTCCGATTTTTCCAACCAGTCCCAGAGTCGGCAAGTAATGAACGACGTGGAATTCTCTGGAACCACATTCCTAGAACATGTCCAAGCCACCGAAGTCGGTGTTTCAAGATGGTGACGCCAATTGCATTATCGTCTCTGTGCCCGAACACACGATGCCGAACCTCTGCATTACTGACATGGTGTTGCCACTGGATGTCAACAATCTTTCGGAGACAACGATTTTCACAGGCATAGAGCAAAACTGTTCTCACCGACGCGTTGCGGATCCGACCTTTTACAGCCAGACTGACATCACGAGGGCAACAAAGATGGCCCAGATTGGCATAAGCCAATCTGACTTTCACTATACGTGCATTGATCTCATCACACACGCCACCACCAGCACTTATGCAGCTACCCAGATACATAAACTTCTCGACTACTTCTATCTGCTCATTATCCAGGGTGAGTGCAGGATTAGAATCCTGCCAGTCTTGTAGAAGTACTTTGCACTTCGAAGGTGCAAAGCACATACCGTACCTACGGACACTGATTGCCAACTGATTAAGTGCGGATTGTATGGTTTGGGCATTATCGCACAGTAACACAATATCATCCGCATACTCAAGGTCGAGAAGTCTTTCCCCAGGCAACAGATCCACACCGCCATTACTTACATCCATTAGAATTGTTTTCAAAATGTCATCAATGGCAAGGTTGAAGAGGAATGGTGAGATTAGGCAACCCTGCCTAACCCCACTGCTTGGATGGAACAATGGAGAGAGGTGGTTGTATGGCCTTACTCTGCCTGAGGTGTTTGTATATAGGGCTTTTAGGATGTTAATAGACTTCTCAGGCACACCCTTCTTCCATAGACAATTCCAGAGAACAGTCCTATCCAACGAATCGAAGGCAGCTCTGATGTCAAGAAACACTACGATTGTTGGCCTTTGATAAGTATGATGGTGTTCTAACATTCGGCGGAGAGTGAAGATATGGTCGATACATCCTGGACCAGAACGAAAACCAGCCTGCTCCTCGCGAGTCAATCTTTCTCGGGTTCTGAACAACCTACGAAGTATGACGGAAGCCAATAGCTTGGACGCAATCGGAAGTAGACTTATCCCCCGATAGTTCTTACAGGAACGACGTGAACCCTTTTTAAAGATAGGGACAACTATCGACTCATTCCATGACGTTGGTAAACTCTCTAGTTCCCAAACCTTTGTAAACAACGTCGTCAATTCCTTAGTCAAAAAGTCACCACCATCTTTAAAAAGAGCCGGAGGTAAGTCATCTGGGCCCGGTGATTTGTTACGCTTCAAGAGTCGGAGTTCCTTGCGGACTTCCTCCTCGTTTGGTGGATCAGTCGTCACCGGCTATGGAGGCAGGATAGTCTGACCGATGTTGCCGGAGCAGTAGGCCGGTTGAACTGCCCTTCGAGAAATTTTGCCCATCGTCCAAGACGTCGATGGATGTTAGTGATTGGCGTTCCGTCATCCTCGTAGATTGTTTGGCTCACACCAGACTCCTTGCTGCCAGTGGCTTCCGGCAGTTACCAGATTCAGCTGCTGCTTCCAACTCATTAGCACGCTCCGAAAACCAGGCTTCTCGGTCCTTACGCAAGCTCTGCCCGATTTCATTACGTAACAGCCTTCGTATGTGGTCAAACTCACGGTCACCTAAAGTAGACTGACGGTCCCGATGAATTGTAAGGAGCCTAAAGAAATCCAGTGCTTATAAGCGGGACGTTTCGTGAAGCCGCAAGCGACTTTACTCACCATTTTCATGGCGTCATGCAATTGCAACTAATGATCATCTATACTTTTCTGTGGGATGGTAGCTAGCCTAGAACCTAGCACGGTTTGATACTTAATTGCGACAGAAGTTGCAATCAGTTTACTGACATCAATCAATTTAGCACGATGAATTCGTTGGCCACTGAAAAGTAAAGTAACATTGGCGCAAACAAGGGCATGATCGGAGTTCAGATAGGTACTCCAAGAGTGGCAGTCGTGTACACAACCACGTCAGCGGTAGCTGATCGCGATGTGATCAATCTGAGTCCAGGCTTGAGACACAGAGGGAGGGCGCCAGGTGGCACATTGGCGATGACTGTGCCGGAAGTTAGTACTAGCCAGAAACAGGTGGTCTGTGCATAGTTGCAGTAGACGGTCCCTGTTATCTGTCCTGTGACCAACAAGTCCCCATCGACCACCTAAGCGCTAGAACTACAATATCTGTCGGATGCACTTTCTGAAGAACAGATAACTGGTGGTAAAATTAATCCTTGATTGCAACTGGGCTGCAATCTGTCGGATCATAGGCGATGACGAAAAAACATGGTTTCTCACGCCGATTTCTTCTCACTTTGATGGAACTTTCTAATCTAACAGCACATAACCGACTGTTAATGGGGATCCAATCGATTAGTGCTGTCTCAGCTTTAGCGCCTAGTGCGACACCAACGCCAGCAAGACCAGACGAAGATGCCACAGGGTCCCCGGATAAACGCAAGTAAAACAAGCTTTTTGAGGCGACAGATGGAGAGCGAATTTGTAGTACTTCACTAGTCTTGAATACGGGTCTCGGATAGACAGCAAACATCGATATTAAGACTTTCCAAGGACATAGCCAACCCTATCTGTTGTCCAACCTGCATAAGTGTGCGAACATTGAAGGCAGCCAGTTTGAATGGTGCATGTGGTTTCAGAAAAACTGCTTCAGTATTCATATTTGGTGGTAGCATACAATTTTCAACCAGGCAGAGACTCGAGATAGTTTAGATATAATAGAGTTTCCACTATAGGCGAGCTGCTGTATAAGTTGAAAAATGGGGATATATGAAGTGAGAATAAAAAGTGATAAGTGATGTAGTATATAAAGAAAAACAGTAATAATAATAAAGATGAGTGTTATCAAGAGAAAGTGAAATGTCTTAGTTCTGATCGGAGCGAGCACAGTATTTTGTTAAATATTTGTCATCTTATCAAACATGTGTGAGGGCTGTGATACTGCCCGGGTGCCCAAACCGAAGCAGGTGGTTTTCTTAGCGCGCCACACCCGGAGCCTTCGACTTAAAGGTCTGATCCACAAGGCAGTGGAGCATCGTAGGGAGATGGAGTCCCATGGTGGCGGGAGACCAACAGTTGGTCCATACGCCATTTTTTCCCTGAGGATACTGGAGCCCATGTGCACCATTGGTTTGGAATCAGGGTTTCCCAACTCCCTTAGGTGGACTCTCCGTGTCCACCAACCCAGTTAAAGTGCCGGAGTTTTGTTACATACCAACTGGCGCTTGTTAACAAAACGAACCTATAAGCTTGAACCTTTCCTTGATAATAGGTCATTTAATCTAGTGGCCACATTTCGAATTGATTGAGAGGATTTAATCAATAACTAGGAACTAGAAAAACATGATATTCGTTGCCACTGACCAAACATAATTAACACTATCGTTATTCACTGTACGTAAAAAGTTTTAAACCATTTAAAGTTTGGGAGATTTCTGCCCAAATGGTTAACTGAAACGTTATCCATGAGAGCTTTGTCTTTGGTTTAAATTATTATATACAAGGATAGGAACATCACAGATGGACTGATAACCAACTGATCACTGACAAGCGATCAGTGTTGCGTTTGTTTTGGGTACTGATAGAATTCCATCGAATGAGTTGCGATGAGGCCACCAGCCTACATGACTCCACATTTCATGCACTGTGTTGAGATGTCAAGTATTTGGGATTAGTCTGCAGGAAATCATATGTTATGGCCCAAAGCCGCCAATCAGAAGCAGCGAATTATCGATCGGACCAAGAACGCGTAAAACACGTGCGAGCAGCCTAGAGTCCTGATTGGTCCTGCTTTCAGCCTAGCCCAGCCAGTTAAGTCCAGAACACCAGTCTCAGCCTCTGCAATATGAATCCTTATATTTCAAACATACTGAGTTTATATATCCATCAAACAGACCACAACGTAGCATAAAATAGAAAATAACATTTGTACAAAATTTGGCCAAACGTGGCTGTGAATGTGGGAAGCAGTGGCTAATAGACAGGGCATAATTCAAGAATGGTAAAACTTATAATAATGGTTCGTGGGTCAAAATAAAGTTTATAATAAGAGGAATGTGAATATGAATAGTTTAGTTACTTAACAATTATACGATAAAAATATACGTTTGGTATTGGTCCATAAAAGGATCCCAAAGTTACCACTCATTATGTTTATCGGGACCTAACACCCTACTTGGACTAAGTTTCGTGTTAGTAAACACTCGTCTACAAGAGATGCCTTTAACCTTGATGAAACCGATGATTTCTAGTAGATCCAAGCACACGTCAGTATCTTATAGATATGTATAGCTGACGAGTTCCAGCTGGCACGAAACATGAATCTAGAGATTCCTACCGGCTACCTCCAACTACTTAGCAAACGCTTATGATTTATACTGTTCAGTCAGTAGAAATATTGCAATCCTCCACATGAGGTCAGTCGCAGCCCCAGTGTTAACATATTTCTAACTAGCTCACTAGGCGATGTGCGAATTATCAGTCCTCTTAAGATTGGGGACATGAACTTGCCAATCAGCGCAATAAAGTTCGAACAGAAATCCTTCCTGATAGCTTTCAGCAACCGCGTAAAAGCACTTATTCCTCTATTAAGTCGGTCGAATAAGGACTAAGTTAAATAAAAAATCTAGTTAGACTACTTAGTGTGAAGTCGGAAGTGTTTGACATCCACTACAAACTACATACTAAGAACTAAAACTGTAAAATAAGCTAATTGAATACGTCTAATATAACTGAATGACGGAGTACACATGTTCACATACATAAACTAGGTCACAAGCTTATTATATGGACTATTGATTTTAATCGAATGTTCGGACCCACGTAGGTAGAGAAAGGGGGTGGAAACTATGACTAAAATTAAGAATCTGTTAAATATAAATGTCGATTGGATATTTTTTTACCAGAATAAATTACCTGTAATCTCCAGTAGTTGATCGATTTTGCTGATTGGGTGCTTGATCATTTGTAGCAGATATACGAATTAATTCTAAGCCCAGTGCATAATCTCTGTAAAAATAGGTGGAAAAAAAAATAATCAAAATACTTCCCATTTAAACATTAAAATTAAAACACAAATTTCAGCGAAGGGATCTCTTTTCAACGAATTTATTATCAAGCTGTACAATCGTATATATATCATATCAGTTTATTTTTGTACACCTCTATGACCTTTAATTATTATATCAAAAACATTTTAATCATCTTATTATATTCACCAAATCCATTGTTATTGTTATTATTCATATTACGTAATCTAGTATTATAACCTTTATATTAACTGTGTTCACATTTCCTCACGGAATTAGTACTTTTACAAAAACAAAATTTTCATATATATACGATTGTACAGCTTGATAATAAATTCGTTGAAAAGAGATCCCTTCGCTGAAATTTGTGTTTTAATCAAAATACTGTCAAGTAAATTTTAATGCGAGGAGTAATTACCGCGCGTGTTGACAGACTCCAAATGACCACATAGCCACAGGTTTGTGTATTCTATTTATGGTGTACCGTACCATTAATCACTTTATTATGAACAATATTTATTGGGTGTCATATGAATTTTGCTTCCTATATATATATATATATATAGAGAGAGAGAGAGAGAGAGAGAGAGAGAGAGTCGTTGTATTCTTCTAACTTATTCTGGTTAGCGTAAAGTGGGTCAGAGGCCATCAAACCAAGATGTGAGATCAGTAGCTAAAGTCATTGACTGATACTTTGAGGCACATTAGTAGGTGCTAACTATCCGTTTACGAGACCTTGAGTGAACTATTTTGAAATCGTTCTCAATGGGCCAGATGCATTTATTCTGTCTTTACCTAGGTTCTGCGTTTTAATACCACTTGATACTTCCACTTAGCTAATCCATTCCTTTCTTTCCAAACCATATTCTGTGTACTTAATCTCTTTTTAACTATCATTTGAACTTGTATTATTTGGACTGTTTATCTAATCATCTTATTGTGTTGATATACTTCGACATCTAGAACGGTAGAACACATTTACACGAGGTTTTACGTTGATTATATAACTTACTGACTTGATTTTTTCTTTTTGATGAAAACAATTACCTTATTTGTCGAATAAACATTTCAAGTGAAAAGTCCTGTTGGCGTTTTACTTTTCCTCAAAAATGTAGTTATATATATATATATATATATATATATATATATATATATATATATCGAGAGAGAAAGAATGGTAGGCAAATATAGGTATATAAACGACTACCTTGGTCCACGCAATTCAATCAAAAGCTGATTATCACAGTTATTATTTGGTACACTAATTTCAAATCGTGGATTAGTTCTATAACTTTCTTTGTCATTTATGCAGCCACCAGCATTTGATCCTTTCCACTCACCAGTAATCTACAATACAATTTTAAAAAAGGAAGCAAAAATATATGCAACAATCGGAAATTCAGAGAAATATTTATTCATTGTATTATTATTATTATTATTATTATTATTATTATTATTATTATTATTATTAATATGGAATTATGTTAGTAAGGGTATGATACATACTACTGCATATCCTTTACAAAGGTTAACTCATGAACTGATCTTAGTAAGACAATAATTATTATTACTGTTGCGAATGGCTTTATTCAATATCATATGTTAAGGACAATATAGAATTATCAGCACACAATGTTTTGACGACCTTATTTTACGAAACAAGAAAAAAATGTGAATAACTGCATACATTTATACATGAAATAAGTAAATGAAACAATCTGGAATTCAATGAATCTTTTTTAAAGCAAAATAAAAATATGCACAACTTTTCATTAGCGATATATTTAAGGATACAAGTTAGTGATTAGGTCAGCTTCTACAACCTGTTCGTCACGTAGTACATTTGCGAGATAAGTGTTGTAGAGTTTTTATATCTTTGCTTGCGTGCACGGATTTAAATGAAATAGCGTCTCGTTCTACAAGAAGATATACGAGGAGGCAGATGTAAGTGAAATGGATGGTTAGTATCTGGCAAGATTTTAAATGTCTATCCGCAACCATATACATAATAAGCCCAAAAATTCATCACAAATCCTGGTAAATGCCTTCAGCACTCTCCACAATACGGGAAAATCTTTTCTCGAAAGCCCAGGAAAGAATAATGGGGAATAGTAAAGAACAACACAATATAATAATTAAACCGTAAAAGTAAATACGGAGCAATGCCAAAAACATGTGGTCTGTTTGTATAGTAATTCAAAAAAGGATTTTCCTCAATATCAATAAAGCATGAATAGATTAAGAGATCAGAAGAAAAACTTACACCAAAATAAATGACCTTTGACACCGTTTTTGTCAAAGAATATTACTACAAGCTTTTTGGGATGTTTAAGTGTTATTCATGTTTCAGACTAAAATTAACATTCTAACATGTAGAAGGATTAAGTGTGAGACCATTGTTCAATGAGAGACAAGAACTCATCCATTGTAAGGGGATGTGAAGAGGTAGAAATCGATGTGTATATAGTGAGATCATCTGTATACCTAACAAAAGTGTTTTCTGTAGATGTCAAATTATGCAGAGAAATTGAGAAAAGAATAGCTTTTTTGGCACAACTTGAGTCCGTGAGAACGCAAAACAATTTCCTCCAAGCACAGTATACTGTTCGATTTCAGAGAGGTAGGAACACACCCAGTTGGTTATCCTGCTGTCGGTGCTAACGCTGGAAAATGTGTTTAGTAGTAGTAGTTTCAGAGTAGAGTCAAAGACACAAGTATAGTCTGGAAATGAAAACCAAGAAGCTGTAGAAAGCTACTTGGTTCTAGTATGGGGACTGTTTAGCAGCGGACATCCACAACACCATCGATAGGAATCGAATTCAAGACCTTCGACCCTGCGCACGAACGTTTTACATCTATACCAGTGAGTTGGCATCAAATGATGTTAATGTCTATGTTCTGACCACGTTCCAGATTATATATACTGATTGTTAAATTTCCAACCAATTATTGCTAGTGAACGAATCGAGAAGACACTAGGAGATTTTTATATAAACTCTATTTTTACTATTGTATCTTCTTTACTGGAATTTTCGGAGTACGTATTTTGTTTCCTGCCAATTGCTGTTTTAATTAGGGAAGAGTTGGTTGAAATATCGTGGTCATGGAATACTAAACAATGGAATAGCATTATAAACAAATAGTCCGTGTATTTCACGTTAAACGATATATGTATATAGTAACATTTTTATTACCGTAAAAGTAAGAAAAAAATCGAATAAATTACAAACTTGATATGTACTATTCGATTAGCATTAAGGAAATGTGCGTTTTTATCAGAAGAACAAGAAACTGTGGATTCACAAACCTCCTGCATTTCGTCTAAAGCTTTTATTAATTCGCTTACATGAATGTTTTCAGCTGAGTTAAAAATAGACCGGACCAACAAAAACAATTATATACATCTAAATAACATACATTCTGTAAATGTTTGTATAAACGCCCAATATTATTTTAACAGTATAGAAATCAAATGATTTCATTTATCCAACTCGCAATACAACTCCAGAATGACATCTCACTTTTTGGCTTCTAATTTTATACACAACAGTTTGTAGCTTCTCATAGAAATCCATATAGCGTTATGATGAAACACATTCGAAAGGAAAATTTTTTTAAAATCACTAATTAACTGGGTTTTTCTGACCACTCCTTACAATTTTTATGATTTCACTTAAACATTATTATTATATGATCGATAAGAATGTACCACAAGATACCAGGTGATTAAAAAACATGTATATATCATTACCAAGCTAAAATAATGATAGCTAATAACACTTCTAACATGAAATTCGGCGTTAACATTGGATCAATCAATCTTAAATAATGTAGAAACCAGTACATATGTTCATCAGTTTAAGTTCCCATATCCCATAAACACAGCCGAATGAAATTAACAAGACAAATCTTAGAGCTACTAAAGAGATAAAATATTAGTGGTAGTATAAAATACTAGGTATAGAGAATATCTATCGACTGGAATCTTCCGCATTAAGCATTCCTCTCATTGAAAGATAATGGTTGCTAACTTTCATATCCACTAACCCGGTCAAAGCGCCAGACATTTTGTCTATAAGTATAACAGCTTTGATTCCCTAATACATTTTACTATCAAGCCATACGTTCATTAATTTTAAATCTATTCATCGATTGAACTCAAGGGATCATTTCTATGGGTAAATAATACTTAGCTAAGTCACTTTAATCGAGTTGGTATTTCATACTAAGCTCACTGATAAATATCATTTGAACGCTTTTAAACAATGAGTGCAACAAACTGGAAAGTCAAATCGGTAAACTTAGTTATTACGGCAGAATTAAAAATAAAAACAATACAAGGTTGGTACGCCTGTTACCTGGTCAATATTCATTGCACAAAAATGATTGCAATGAAATGGAGAAATTTCATTAAAAATTCCCAAGATCACTCTGTGCAGTTATTAACTGTGGAAATGAAACTTGTTGGTAGATCTAAACAGAATAGTCGAGGTCCTCATGTTTATTTTAATTAAAAATTGAAGATGTTCAGTAATATTGTTCAGAATCAATAGCCTATGTTTCCTTTTAGACCATCAGTTTTGAAATTGTTTACTACTTCGAGTGCTTTTATTACTTTTGAAGTGTATATAGATAATTTCACCTCTCTATGCTGATACGATATGGTCATTTGAGCTGATGTACAATAAATGCCAGGTTCTGCATTGGATTATGAATGAGTTTCACTTAAAAAAACACAACAAAAGTTATGATTTTTATATCTTACTTGTTTTGATATAGTATAGGGATCTTTGATTTTTGACAAGGTAAATGGTGCTGTTGAATATACACGTAATGTATAATAAATTGTTATTGATTTCTCATATTGTGAAATCAAAAGAATGTAATTACATGTCCCAGGATCTTGAAGCATTTTAACTAAACAATGTGGACTATTAATACGTACAGAATCACAAAATGGTGCAGGATCATAAGGATAATAGACTTTACGAGATTTGACATCTTTGTAAACAACCACTGCAATGAATTCTTTGTTTTCGGCAAAATCTGCCTTAAATATTTAGATATGAAGAACAATAAAAAAAAATAAACGAGATTATACGAAGGGATCGAATGGTAAGTATTTTGATTCTTCAGTATTAGTTTAAATATTCCCTCATAGAATATTCACAAGCAAAGAATATCTGAGAGAGCAATTGTTTTCAATGACTTCATCATTAGGCTCTAAAGTTATAAGTCCATAATTATTGTAATATCTTACTAAGGCCAAAATAAGGCATGCATTAATTACATTGACAATGTTAAAAAATTAGTGAACTTTTCCATCTGTTACGGGATAAATACAACAAGATAGTATTATTTATAAATTAGAGAGATTATTTGATAAAGGTTGGAATGATTCGTATTAAAGTGTCAGTTTATAATCAATATAATAGTGAGATAATAAATCGTGTGAATAATGTGCGTAGTAGAAGAATTCTGTCTTGTTAATCGTGATAATAATAACAATAATAATGATAATAAAGTTGTGTAAATGTCATATGTAACAAGAGAGATATTGTCAAAGTAATTACGATTCAGAAAAGTCATGTGAATGGGGAAAGTTGAATGTATAGGAACGATAAACACAAAAGGAATTGGGAAAGGGGATATATCATTGCGAACTATAATATATTAGACAGGTGTTTTATTCAAGTGCGCAGCGCGAACCCATGACCATATCAGGGTTTAGGAACCCATAACCCTAAGATCTCACGGAAAACGCTTAACCGAAACAGCCAAATAAGATTGATTTGTAACGAATGCTACCTACAAAATGAGCAGAAGCATTTCAGTGTTGTCAAATAACAATAGAATGTGAAAAAAGAGAAATGTTGTTTTTGAAGGCAAGAGAATCGAAAACGAAATGTAACACATTCACTAATTACAAATTTAGGTATACACGGATTTTAGAGCAATGATATTTGCCTGAGAGAAAATTATAGTACTCGGCTGCTTAATTTCAAGTAAGTGAAGAGGGTCTCGAACTTGTGACCTACCACTCGTTGTATGCTTTGTATACTAAACTGGTGCTCATGTGAAAATGCAAACTCAACAAAAATTATACAGTTGTAATTATGGCATGATAATTTAGCAACTGTAAGAAAAATGGGGATAATGATGTAAACGACAGGTTTTCACAACATTTTACTATTCATTTAGAAGTACTGTCAGTGGTTACATTAAAAACAGCTGTAATTATTACTTATATTACTGGTAATCTGGACTGCAGTTGCTACCTTAAAACATGATGGGTGAGGACGTTAGGGGTAATAACCCAAAATAATGTTAAAGTTGATTGGTATACTTGTTTGCAGAAGTTTTATCACCACTACAGCTATGTATTGCTATGATGAAACGCATTGACTATATTTTAGGAAATTTAATCCGGATGATGGCACCATACTGCAGCTAGATCCTTACATCCAGCAAGCAAACCCTCCCAACTTCCAGCCAGTAATTTTCCAGGATATGAAAGGATGCTTTGTTCTGGAGAACTATTTATTTATCACTTCATAACTGCTTAAACTCACGTTGATAATAACTTTCCCTGGTTATGCAACTGATTTTCTAGCAATAAGTTAACTACATATTTGAAGTGTGAAAAATTCCATTCTTTTTAATCTCGAACAACAAGAGTTTTTAATCTATGGTCTAGCATTGCAGTTATTATTGTGTTACTTTGCAAGGGAACATTCAAATAGGTTATGGGCATGGATGTCGAATAGAATTCATCTGACAGATTTACTTTTCAAAATGTGTGGAGATCCCAAAACAGTCAATTTCGGATTGTTGGCACATTTTTGTAGGAGGAGGGTATCTGAAAGCAAGGTGGATGCGACACTGGATACGGAATAATATAAGTAGTTTCAAAGAGGTGAGGTTAGAAATGTAAACCACTGAGTGTCATCACAATGATTTTAAAGTAACTCGTGAAGGCCCTAGGCTCAATTTTTGACGTCATCATAGGTGAGTACAGTTGAGGGATGAGCTCCAAAATAAAACAGAATATCCATTGAATATCCCATGACTTCCTATGTTTCGTCAACTGAAGTTAATCTGTAACGTAAAATATCGTACTATTCTAATAAATATCCGAATTTCTCACTTAATCGTCGATTACAATGCTTAATAACTTATCATTATTGAGTGATCACTGAATTTTTAATTAATTATATTGAACTTACTTTATCTACAATATGTCTTGTTAAAAGCACCCATATAGGTGATTCAGTTTGGGCAGTAACTTCCAAATTATACTGTGGATTTTCAGCACTAGCGTAAGAATCTTTCTTTGGTCCAGATCCAGCAAGCCAACAACTTCATTTATTATAAAATAGATTAAAGATTAATAGGTTGGATACATTAGTCAAGTTAAGTAATTGATATTGACCACTAATTAATTATTAGACGTTTGACCAAATTTATAGAAGCTCAGGGATAATGATTCGAAGTACTTGGAATGTACATTAATATGGACGAAAAAATTAATATGAATTGATCAGCTTTAATTTACTGCTGTTCATTAACAACCGTCAACTAACAATAAGGGGACCGAAATTTCTATTAACCGTAGAAAAAGAAGGATAATAAGTTTTGTATTATATAAAAAAAGAATGCTATAGTGTGCTTAACGTCATTCAGACTGATTGGTCATTGAGTGAATGATTAGATTTACATTTGTCTATTGACAAAAATTTCAATCCGACGAGAAGGCAGTTTCTCAAAGACTGAAGAACTGTCTTGTTAATGGGTGCTAACTAGCAAAAAATCCAAACTTAAAACTGTTGGGATATTCAGAAAAATGTACCAATAATTATCCTGTTAAGTCTAATGGTGTCCTTGGACTTTAAATGGACATTTCCTATTGGTCAATGTTTATTTCACTTGTCAAATATTGTACAAATGTTGTTTCTATTTTATGGTACGATGTGGTCTGCTTGATTGGTATATAAACAGAGTATGTTTGAAATATAACGATTCATATCTCGGAGGCTGAGACTTGCGTTCTGGACTCAACTGACTGGGCTAGACAGGGAAGCGGACCAATCAGAAATCGAGGTCGTTCTTACGTGTTTACGCGTCTTTGAATCGGTCGATAATTCGCTAACCGACAATCAGCAGCATTTTCACGTTACAACAAAAACTTTCATCTTATCGCCTCTAACCATACAACATTATTTACGAGTAAGAGTAACAATTTCCCTTTGATTAATACATTTGAAAAACTTGATAATTGGATAATATCTATAATAAATAACGTTGTTGAGATGTTAAAATAAATAGCCACCTTCCTTGGAAGCAATGTTTGAATGAATATTTAAAAATAAATTACTGACCGCTGTAGAAATTAGGGGGATGTGATAAGTTTCCATGAATTTGTAGCAATTTTGTTTATCGATGTTAAACATCTGTGAGGTAATAAATATTTTTCAAAGCAATTTTTCGTTCATTTAATGGTGCAAATATGAGCATGATTTTCACAAGAGATTTTATTTCAAAAAACTAACTTCCACATTATTTGCTTTTCATCTGGCAAATTGGTATGGGTTACAGCGATTTGTTTATAGGACACATATTTAGATAGCTTTAGATAATTGAGATGAAATGTCTAGTAAAAATCATGCTCATATATGCTCCGCTAAATGAACAGAAGAATGTTCAAAGATGATGAGAGGACGTTTCAACTAATTGGATTACAGCGCACTGCTGAGGAGTTTTATACTAGGACGAAACGGTCGTCCAGTGTTTCCAGGTTTTCATGGTGGTCTAGCTTCAATTGACTCATGATTTCAACCAGTGAAATAAATAATTATTTGTGTGAATAAAACTACCGAATATTTCCTCAATATTTATGGTCATACTCTCAAAATTTATAAATTGAGGTACAGGAAAAAAAGCACAATCGGTTTAATGGCAAACCACTCTTCTTATTTCTTAAGTCATTTCAAATAAAACTCCATTAATTACAGTATGTAGACCTTCTTATAATAGTGTTACTGATATAAATTTAGGCCGTTTGCAGCTAATGAAAAGCCTTGAAGTAAAATGAATTCAGATTATTTTGTAAATCCTATTTATCTCGCCTTATTGAAGCCATATTATTATTAAGTTATCATTAGTGTGAGAGGATTGTGGAGATTGTTGTGTTTTATCATTCACGTCATGGAATAATCTTAGTTGGACAACCTTTTAAAACTGGGAAGCACTAAACGGCTGTGCCGTCTCCCTACAGGACTCATCAGTGGTGTACATCAACGATGCCACTGTGGATCAGCCTCAAGACCGGAAAGTTTCGTGGCAAGGGCCTAACCTTTAAAGTAATAAGTCGGTATCTGATGATTCATATCATTAGCTTTAATCAATTTGAAAATTAGTTTGGTTCTTCATCTCAATAAAACAGTGGCAACTGAATTTTTAATTACAATTATACATTGCTTAGACCTTTAAATAACACATGACAATATAATTGAATAGAAAATTTATTAAAATAAAGCCTCCATTTTATGTGAATTCTGCAGAATCACATTCACTATACATTAACACTATATATACAGGTATTTAGTGTTATATATTTGTACGTGTTAAAAGTATCCTACCTTAATGTACAATACACGGATAGGCACAAAGTCAAATAAATAAGAATTAACTAACCACTTCAAAAATATCTATTGTGACATCCAATATTTTTGTTTTAATTGCACTTGTTAGCCATATATAGTCTAACTTAAATAAACAGCTTGTAAGTATTAAAATTACTATGCATGATGTTATTATTGTGAATCTGTTCTTTTTTATACCAGGGAGACAAGGGGTAAATGTGCTGGAAGAATACGAACAAGCCTTGTGTAAACTGAATTTGTAGAATTAGGTATACAGTTATTTTGTAAAACAAAGCATTCCTTTTTGTTTGATGACCGCGTAATTTAATTTTTGAAAATATAGGTCGTATTGGTACACCATGTTCTCTTTTCTCGAATACTCAATGACTCAGATTTGTGTGATGTTTTTTTCATGTACTTCAATTAACGTTAATTACACACATTATAAGCCATTAGTATCCATGATCATATAATACCTAATGTAGACATCTAAGTGAACGGATTGACCATTCTTGTGTAACTAGAAAAAAAACTTACGTTATCGGATTCACACACAAATTATTTTTCAAACATACATAGGCAGCTTATTGGTTAGATCAGTTGAGTTTTAACTATTAGATCGCAGGTTCAAACGATGGCCTTTATCTATTTCGGTTTAAGCTGCCAAATAGTATTACTATGCCCCATATTAAAACTGTAACTGAAAGTCGGGTATGTAAACTTGTACTAGGTAAACAATTCATACATAAACACAAGTAATTTTCCAACTAAAGGATGAGAATACTACAGCACAGACTTTATAGGTATCAATGCCAAGGTAGGACCTGATAGTTTCAAATATATTGAGAATTAGATAGAAAGTTATTAATAAATATAATTTTTGTTATACTCCAATAGTAGAAAAATCGTATTTCTGATTTTTCGTGACTTAATGTAGGTCACTTCTTCAGAGTAAATAAATGACCGAAATTAACAAAATTCTAAATAGCGCAAAGGAGACAATGCAGAATATTCTTAGTACAGTCAAAACCATAATAGGTCTGAATATGCCAATGACCTGTCACTATTCATTTGTGCCTCAGAATGTGGGTATGAAAAATGTTTGCATTTGTAATATGAAATAGTGGGGTTGAAATTAGGCGTATGTGTGAGTAGATCGTGTGGAAATAAACTATGTCAAATGTGGCTGTTTGGATAAACAATCCAGGCTGGATGAATATTCAGGCCTTCTTTCCTATCGAGGGCAGTGGGGTTTAGTTTTATGTGAAACGCTCCGGTTACTGGCCTCTCTCTTTATCCGAATAACCACATTTGAGTAAAAAAGTGGGAGGAACCTAATGAGTAACAAACGATTTCACAAAAGCAACTTACTCATTAACACATGTAGTATATTGAAATAGTCCTGGATCCCAATTAATATAAAATACATCAAAGAAATGACATAAAGAATCATAATCTATCCAAAATACACCATTATCAATTAACTGTGCAGATGATCTATCAAAATTCAGCTTAGCTTGCATACTGGGGGTCCAGTGTTTTGAATCACGCTCAGAGAAATTACCTTTCCAACGCATATGACTCCATGGATTTTTCAGTAAAAATAAACGATAACCCTTTTTTTAAAGCGATTAGTGTTTTGTTTTTTAAACAAAATTTATGTTGTGGAAAGGGAAACAAAACATACATAAATAGAATTACAAACTTGGTGATACAGTTATCACATGGATTTCAATAAAATAATGATAATGATCACAATATTTAGATTCATATCAGTGGAAAAAACCGATCACATATCAAGCATCATTACAATTTGTAATATAATTACCCAGATGATTTGTATGACAGTAAGGTTTTATTCATTTCCTTTTTTTTAAAAATGTTGGAAAATAAAAGGATTCCACCTATTTAGTAAGAAAAACTACTGGAAATAATTGGACGAAAACTAATTCAACTATCAGGTAGGGATTCACTTACATGGCTTCGAGTCACGGTTTATTTGTCCCCACCAATAATGCTACTACGCATTTGGCTAAACGAAGTAGGTAAATTAAAGTTCGAACCTGGAACTAAGTAAATGTAGACTGAAAGGCCTCAGCAACTGCTTCACATTAGGCAGTCATACGTTAAAAGCGCTTGTTTTCGTTCGATCACCAACGTTCATTAACAAATAGGGCGCGATTAGCACTGTGAAGAAATTTTTTGCTAGTGGAACTAATTGACTTTTAATCATTGCATTGGTGACTTAAAAACCTCATTCGATTTGGATACACCAGGTAATACCACTAGGTATGATCATTGGGAGCGTCCTCTCACTCTTTCGAAAGCCTTTCATAAAGTCACGCATTTATGGCCTTTATCAAGGAAGACCTCCTCACTGCCTACACGCCGCAGTCTGTTTTCTACAAAGTGAGACAAATTGAAGAGAATGTCTTAACAACCATTTATACAAAATTACAAAATTTTTGTTAGTATCGATCTTCCGTTTGACTAGTCAAAGATGAAGTTCCACAACTCCAAATAAGAGACCTCGTCTGGGGTTTATAAACAATGATTTTTCAATTAGAATATTAATTTACAATTCTTATTACTGCAGTTATGTCAGTAAGTCAGCTACAACGTAGGACCAGGCAAATATGTGCATCCATCCAAGTTGCCATATCTCATTAGCAGTTATATCATCTCATATATTTATTTTAAAAAGCAAAACTTAGAATCTTTCCACAAGCATGTTTGGATTTGTTGGATTCTCATCAGACGAACAGTTTGTTAGTCAACTAACAGTTTTTTTTGTGAGAATTATAAGTTAATTCATCATGAATGACATGACTTATAAATATAATGGCAGTGGAGTGAATGCAGTTACTTTTTATCGCACATTAGATGTTGATTTTCAAAATTACACAGTAAATTCATCGGTCAATTTCGGATTACATCCTCTATGTTTAGTCTTGTAATTATTGATCACATCTGTCGGTTGTTTAGTTAGTTTCAGCTGGATATATTAATGTGGTGTGATGATTTGTGTTGATATATATTTGTATGAATTTTCTCATTGTTTATGATCGACTGGTTGATTGAGAATCGCTGAATTACAAGTCATTCATTATACAATTACTTCAGAATCACTCAAATTTGATATCGCACTGAGTCAGTCACATTTTGATATTATAAGTAGGAGAATAGAAAATTGCAACAATTAAAAAAATACTCCTAAAATATGTCTGTCAGTTCGGCTCGAATAAATGAAAGGAATTCTTAGGACTATTTTATAGGTGACTATTAAGTAGATTTTTATTATTCTATTAAATGTCTGGATTGTAGTGTCTTTATACTACTTTTATAGTACGTTTCCACTTCATTTATAAACTGTTATTGGATGTTTCATCGTTCCTTAATTATCATTAATTAAAAATGAACCTATTGCTCAGTTTTGTAGTACATGTGAATTAGTTGTGTACAAAATATATAGTAACCCACGGGTTTTTGAGCCAGGATAGCAAAAAAGACAATATTAACATAAAATGTAATTCTGCTTGCTGTTTTTAGCTTTTGATTATCCATTTAGACTAGTAGGGAGTTGTGGACCGATAGACATTTCGCAGTCATTATGTTATTAGTTTAACAGAATGTCATTGATCAGGCAAGTAAACATAAGTGGATTTCTACTATCAAATGAATTCGATAAAGTAGGCAATATACAGAGTTGTATTTATAACAATTTCAAATGATAAGCACATACCTCCACCTCACGTATATCTAACATAGCATAAGCATGAGTTGGAACTAAACCTGATCGTTCACTTTCATCATCGGATAACTGTCCAGTTGCAATTGTAACTAGACAGTGACCTTTATGAAATCGACTTAAAAGACGACGAAATTCTCTATCTTTATCAAAACTTGTAGAACTAGATCGAATGGAGATACGTTCAGGAATCCAACCAGTCAATGCATGCAGATCAATATTCTGTTGAATATCAAGAAAAAGAAAAACAATCCGTAAACAAATTTCGAGTGAAACTCACCATAAAACAAACGTATTTTCAAAGAAATGTGTATGAGCACATGTGAAATGTATGATTATTTGAAGATCAAGTGTACACATCGAACGAAATCTTGTTTTATTTGGAGAGTAAACATATTACACATGATTTTTATATTGTATTACGAAGTGATTTCAGTTAAACAACTATTGGATACCAGCAAGCATTGAATAGCTTTTCCATCCTAGTATGGAACACCTTGAAAGTGCCCGACGACGACTAAAAATCGGGTCAGATCAAAGACCTAAAGGTCTCTCAGGTAGCGCTCAGGTAGGCCATTGGGCTGGTAACAAATAGTGCATATATCTAACTTTAACCCATTTGCGAAACTGTGTAACTATCTTCCAGTTCCATTGGTGGGGCATTGTCTAACATTCAATATAGTTAAACTCTACTGGTCACGTCTTGTCAGAACGGGAAGGATTTTATGAATAACGGAGTAAAACAAAAACGAGGAACAGACTTATGTAAGTAAATGGTTTTTGTTACGCGATGTCTGATCACTACAATCAACTGTAGAACACCGGATGACTCTCTCGTCAGATGTGAGGCTACTAATTATTAGCGTGCAACCCACGGTTCGAACACAGAACTTTCATGTGTCGCGATGCATGTCTAATATTCCACAGACTATTGAGTTTGAAATTCGATGGTCTATACTTTCAACTTAAATCAATCACGGAAATTTATTTATGTAATCACATAAATCCTGGTACAATAGAAAATCAAGAAAAAGTGCCAAAGAAATGAAACGATAGTATGTATGAAAAGAGAAGAGACGGATAGTACAATCAAGAAAAAGATAAATTAACGATAATGAGCGACAGTTAGAGTCCTTAATCAGTAATTAACTCACTCTAGACATGATCACATCAAGAATATCACTAATTTTGTGCATTGAACGAATATAGAATACATACAAATATCATGTTTTAAAGGAACAATGATCAGACGGAGTTGATATGAGAAATATGATGTATTTGTGCCGCACATTTCGAACAGTCTGATCACACATACTTGTCAAGACATCTTACATGAAAACTAATGAATGTCAATTAAATTAAAGTTCAAAAAAATATTAGTTTTCACTGTGGGGTTTTGAAAACTGTTGTATTTTATAAAAATCATGAACTGATCTAAGTTTGACTAATACATAAAACCTAGAAGATTTAAGCGGTCGTTTTGTTCTAGTATGAGAATCCTCGAGAGTACGCACCCATGAACCTGCAACCGTGAATCAACCCCAAGAACTTCGACGTCACACGAGGATGCTTCCCGTTTTTGCGGTCTTGGGTGGGTACAGCCAAAGATTCCCATGCCGGGACGAAACGGTTATCCAGTACTTCCAGGTTTTTATTCATCGTCTTACTCAGATCGGTTCGTGATTTTAATAAACATAGGGTGATAACTGAAAATAAAGGAGGGAAAAAACTAATATCATATGAAAAGAATAGGAAATTGTCACATCACTCTAGCTTGTAAAATGACTTAAGGTTCACCAGAAAAGACAAATAGTTTTCGTACACATAAAGGATGTTTGGATTTGCTAACACCCAAAGCCTTTATAAACCCAGGAACTCGCCCTTGACAATTTCTGCCTAACTTTCTAAAAGCTGTATTGACATTAATTCTATACCTCGTTTCAATTATATGCTTTGCTATTGATGAACATGGTTTCCTACTTATTTTTATCGGAGTATTTGACACTAGTTTATCCTGAGGCTATTTAGACACATGTTGCATAACCCTTGATTGCATTGTTCGATGAATCCCCCCTAGGTATATGCGTCTGTACAAACATGCAGATTGATAAATGCAGTGCGAATGTGACGTATCCACCTGTGCAACATCTAGGTTCGTATAGAATCATGAGCTTAGTCAAAACCAATTTAGCAGTACAATATAATTTCTCAATGGTTGCATTTAGTTTGTTATGAAATTATACTGTTCGACTTTTCTCGACATGACAAAGAGATAATAAACCTTTTCTCTGTAAAAGAATTAAAAAGGCATTTTGGTATTAACCGACTTTTACACCAATTTGTAAACTTCGTTTAACCATTTAGTGTCAACGTTTCGGCTAGGAGTTTTGTATCTTTTTCAAAAGCATCTGCAGTGCATATTCATTGAGTTTTGTCAGAGGCACTTTGCCACGCCTCACTTGTGGTGCAGAAAACACAAAGTGTGAGAATTCAGATATTGCCAAGTCTATGTTGGCTTCTTATAAACTGAACGTTTTATAGTTACATCCTCTCCGGATGAAAAGTATACCTAAATTAGAGAGTAACTTATTATTTTTTTCGTCATAAGTACGATATCATTCTGCACGCTATCGAGTCTGTCCAATAAAATTGGCCACACAAAGTGAACGCTTTATAAGTGCTTCACACTACCCAACGTTGCATCTAAAAAGAAAATGGTAAACAACTGATAGCTTAACGCAAGAGCATCCCATCGACTCTGGACACGTTGCTCGACCGAATTTCATCTTTAAATATAATCTACACGGCCAAACGAGTGAAATCAAACAGAAGTAAAATTAGAAAGTTGTGAACTGTTCAAGTGTTGGTAATTTACTAATTTGATCCTGAAATCTGTATGCGAAGGCAACATATACAAACAAATATTATATAGAATGAATTAGTAATTGAACATTACCGAATTTGATCCTGGGAAATCATATCCCCCCATCACTTTCATATAAGCTTTTTCTAATAAAGATACCCATAATTCATTTTGATTATTTGAATAACAACATAGCAGCTTTCCATCCTTTCCCATTGGCAAAAAGTCATCTATAATTACCTAGATCAGTTAGGCACATATATATTGCAAAATTGACTAAGATAGATTATTCATGTATACAAGGGTTATATTTTAAAAAAAACGATTAGGTTGAAAAATTATTTGTCGTTTATCGACCAATTACAGGTTTATGTACTTGGCTTTGAATCATACTGTTTACACAAGGGGAAGTGAAACTACTTATTACCTAGTTGCTCAAACAGAAGTGAGGTGTATTGTTCAAACTTGGAATATACTAGTTTAAATTCAAACGATTCAGTCCGATAACAAAACACATCAAGCAGTAGCATCTATGTAAATCAACTCATAGGATACTGTCGCACATCAACATAAGAAGTTATGATCTAGACGAAACTACGCCGAAAGTGGAAAAGAACAGAGGATAAAGGTGAATGAACAATTAGTCATAAAAAAGTAATGGTAAGATGTACGGCAGTAGTTCGTGAGTCCACTGGAAATTTACAATAAGGAGAATATAGAAATACAATAACACAGTAATTTGATAATTAGACAATAAAAATACTAGTAATCCGTAAAACAGTTCCAAAAGTCCTGATGTCCTCAACATATGTCAAGTCATAACAGATCGGTTACATCGCCAAGTCGTATAGTGTTTATCAGGACAGTAAATCATAAAAATCACCAAGTTGAAAAATACATTAAAATATTTGGACAATTATGAACTTCTAACTTAATTGTATACTAAAAGAGTATGTGTACGTCATCTAAGCGGGGATTTTCACAAACTAATGTAAATATTGGGATAGTACAAGCCAATAGTACTGAGAGTTTAGTGAATCCAAATTAATTTTCAACATTTACACTTAAGTATGTATTCACAAAGTAAGTGTTACGGTTGGAAAACTGGTAACAATAAATTAAGGAGTTTTTTATCCTTTGAAACACAAATTAACATAGAAAGTTTTTTTAATTACTATATTTTTGTACAGAATTTGAGCCAACGTTGAAAATAACAATATGGTAGATATGTAAAACGTGTCTGGATTCCTATTGACGAACTAATTACAACCATCAATAAATTTTCACTTCCTCATGTATTGTACTGTTGATAAAAAGGATATTGATGCGTAAATATGCTCGTTTTTAGAATTACATTATAACAGAAAAATAGACGATGTTTTGTTATTCAGATGATTGTAGATATGGGTAACATGGCCCAAAGTCGATCAATGTTGCTGTTGAATAGGATGGACGTGACGGGTATTCATCTCAATAACTTCATTTCGTTGTGTTGTGAAAGCCTAGATAGACATACGTTTATGTGCCGCTCTTTACGTTGAATATGACTGAGTCCCAAAGTAGTACCCATCGGTGATTTCACGTGGGATCCATGCTACCATCTACAATTTCTCTATTTTTTAACTGTATAATCTCTTTCAGTTTGACGATTTTAGTTATGGGAACTTGAATGGACAAACACTTTTCTTATATTCTACGTTGCTAATGGTTAGCTCATGTAATCAGTGAGATCGTATATTTTGAGATATCTGATAGTATAAATACTTGGGACAAGATTTAAACATTCCAAACTCATAAACACATAAACTGGAGGCTTCAAAAAGATTTTTTTAAAACAGAGTAAGGTACAACAACCGAAGAACCAACAAATTGTTTACTTCAGTTTTCTACATTTCAATTGTATAAAAGCTAGAAGACTAATATCGTTGATCGATAATTGGAAAAAAAACGTTAGACATGTTAGAAAGATATAAAACTTTGTAAACAATCCACTAAGATAAATCATTTTGCATTGTTAATAATTTAAACCTCATACAGTTGCATGCAAGTATTATTTCACAGACTTGTTTGCTGTTGACCTGCCTCCAGTGACATAAAGGTAGAGAGGTCGATTAAAGTATTATTAATTGGTAGTTTATGTTGCCGATAAATCTGGTGAGACTATAATTTATGGACGACCTTTGAGCTAAGCTAGACTGATCTTGAGAGTGTCCACCTAATATCTATGATCGAATAAAGGTTCTAAACCTGCGTAAGGAATTAGAATTATGTTTTACAGTTGATGATTAACGTTAGGAATTAGATTTAGGGTTCTCATCACGAACTGACATCAGCGATAACGCCAAAACTTTATTTAGCCAAATAGATGGGTGAATTTAGCGCCTAAATCCGAGACCTGTTATCTTATACCTGATTGGTTCGTCCATAAATTATAGTCTCGCCACAAATCTTAGTTAAACAACCATTAAGAACTAGGTAGCACTGAGCTGTTTCATATTAGTACTACACTAAACAGTAGTGTGCATCGACGGCATTATTAAGGGTCGAACCTAGGGTCTTCAGGTTTCATGATGAGCGCCTAACCTTTAAACCACTGATTGGTTATCCAATGATTTTGTATTCCAATCACAGTTAATGATATTTTGTGATTACTATCCACTCCTGTTAATGGTATTTGTTTTACACCTAACATGACTTAACTAGGGGCAATTTGTGATGTAAAACTATGTGATCTATAGAACCTATTTAATTTCAAGTTATTTCTCATCACGGGTTGAGATTAGTTGAACCAACTATTGGAAATCAAGGAACGTACTCTATTTTAAACTAATTAAAAACCAAACAATTCACTGTTAATTAATAACATACCTTTCGTGGAACTCCATTGAAATTTAAACGAACCATGTATTTTCCACATGGATTATAAATAGCTTCATTAGTTATGCCTTGAGGATATATAACACTGTAAAATAAGTTGTTTTATTTTTTATTTAAAAACAAAATTATTGGAAATAATCGTATCATGAATAAGTGAATTGATAACATTGTATTCTATAAGTTGGAGATAGTTGAAATTGCGATGCTTTTGTAGTCCTTTTGAATAACATTACTAGGTGCTTAGTTTCCTATTAGAAGTTGGTCACAGAACAACAAAAACCCGTTACAGTTAAATTATCCAGTTCGAATGCTTTAACTATTGAGACACCACCTCATAATTTTGGGGTGATTCATATACAGTCATAATTTTGACCTTATTACTGAGTGTCACAAATATCTTAGTTGTGTGTAACCTACTGAAATTTATGCTTTAGTTCTGTACTTCTATTACGATTCACCGTGTCCGATTTATATACATACGCTTACTGAACTATCTACGAGATTGTTGGTGATAACTAGAATATAATATTGTTAACAACTACATGAATAGGTACACAAATCACTGGTAAATATATAATTTATAATGATAATTTATATAACATATAATTCAATTGAATCAGGATCTCAACTATTGAAAATATATAATTGTCCGTCTGATATGTACAAGGGCATATAGGCTGGGACCTTAGCTGGGAGGATAATTCGTTGCCTCCAGAAGAGCTTACCATTCATGATTATTCATTCACTATTTAACCTTGAGATGGTATTAATGAGAATAATATATTTGTAATATACCACTGAGTAGGAAAATTACGTTTCTAATTTTTAAGACGTTTCGTCACTTAGTATTAGCCCTTTCATCGAAGAATAAATAAAAAAGTCAAATTTTTAAGGTACATGTCCGGGCACAATAATTTGGAGAATACGATTACTTTGGTGGAGTTTTGTTCTCTGAGCTGGATGGTTTGGTCGTGGAGCTTTCATCGTTCTTCTGAACGACATCATCAGCACAAACTTCAGATAGAAGTGAAGTGTTCGAATTTCTCCATATGTGCACAGAACAAGCTGTGAAACACATATGGAGAAATTCGAACACTTCACTTCTATCTGAAGTTTGTGCTGATGATGTCGTTCAGAAGAACGATGAAAGCTCCACGACCAAACCATCCAGCTCAGAGAACAAAACTCCACCAAAATCATCCACCTGAGCTACAAATCTTCTCCACCATCTCAATACGATTACTCTTTCCTATGTATGTATTGCTACACATTTAAATTGATAAACACAGTTGAATGTGACGCAATCGTCTTCACATCTTTTAAGTTTTTAGTGAAGCATGGAGCATAAAAGGATGGAAGGGTCATGACCTATTATAGCAGAAAAAGCCTGTCTACATTACTTAACGTTTAGAGGTGATTTAATTAATCTTTTATTGAAACAAAAGCTTAAATAGGTTATTAACAAGACATATTACGCAGAAAAGGTAATTATCAAGGGGAAATTAAGGTCCATGAATCCCCAAAAACTTAAAAGATATGGAAACGATTGCGTCACATCCAACTGTATTTATCAATTTACATGTGTGGCCACATGCATTCAAAAATAGTTCACACCTTAAATTTATCTTGGTAATGCTATTCAGGTTTAAAATTGTTATTTATATTATTTTCTTTATTATCTTCGTCTCCTCTTGCCCTCCATTTCTAGTCGATTTGACCTTTTATGTTTATATATAAATGTTCTTAACAAATATATGTGTGATCAGATTGTTCGAAATGTATTGCGCTAACGTACCACATAGCTCTCATAATCTTCGTCTTCTAATTACACTAACCAAATTAAATGTTACAAAGGAAGAATAGATGTGCGATCAAAACTCAGTAAACAGTTAAACTACACGACAAACAAATCTAAACATAATTGTGAGTCCTTATTTAATTGTAATCAACTACAGAGTTTGAGAATTACGTTTCACCTATATCTAAGAGCGTTAGTTGATATCTCAAAACAAGTGTCAATCTTTCAACTGAGATTTCAACCCAGTACACAAATGAAAAATATGAACAAGTTGGAAGAAGAAAAGTTAATTTCGAATATTTGATTGTGTTATAACGTTGAAGATGACTAAACCATATAAACCCAACCAATCAAAATCGAACCATCTAATCAATAATTAAGTCATAATAAAAACAATACAAAGTAGCAACAGATGAAGAAACAAACTGAAAGCGTTGACAACACAAAACAGCTTATTATATATATGACGCGTAAAAGTATGTCTGCCTGTCTATCTACATTCACTAGCCAGTCATGGCTTGCTTTCGTTGAACGCATCATATGGTCTGTCATTCTAGTGATTTTTACACTGCAAAAAAAAACAAGATACAATGGTAAAATACGAATAATTCAGAACAAGTAGCTTTTTTTAGTGAATAGTCAAGTAATATCTTACTTTGTAATGAGCTTTTTTTTAAAACGTCGTTCATATTGAGCAGCAATCGCCATCGATGCGACAAATGAACAATCAGTAACTACAGTTTGGCATATAGAAAAGCAAGATATTGCCAAAATCATTTTTGGTCCATTAATGTAATCAGAAGGACGTACCCAACGGCTAAGTAAAGATTTCTGTTTATTTGACAGTGCTAAAAGTCCATCTTTATCACTTTGAAAAGTAGCAATAGAAGTAGGAAATGAAGAAAACAAAACCTTGTGAATGTTAAATAAAATCTTAAAATGAAATGTGATGTTCTGTAACAAACAAAAACAACTAAGGATGATGAAAAGATAAACTGATTCTAGGAGTGAGGACATGAAAACTTGTTCCTAAATATCAAGAATGATACACGGGGAAAGAAAAAGTTAAAGTACATCTTGTGCTTAATAACAAATATAAAAACTTTCAATAAATTTGTGTATTATGCTTTCAAAGATTGTGGCAGTTGAATGTTATATGAATACCTAAACCATAGTGTGGTGGTTTGATGGTTAAGGGATTCGATTTTCAACCACTAGGTCGCTAGTTTGAACTATACTACATATAATTAAATTGAGTAGCCGGGTTGTATCGGTATTTCTCATATACAATGAACAACTCAAAGTTGAGTACACAGTTTCACAATTTGTAAATAAGAAATAGAAGTGTGTTCCGGATCGAAACCCTGGTTGTTGAGGGATAAACGATCGGATAAATGAGTGACAGTAAAACTACTACACTGAATTAGTACATCTAGATGTCGTGATGAAAAACTTGTTAAATAGATGTTACTAAATAGTTAAGTAATAAAGGTCGCTAGAGGATAAAGACAGAATTTTCCGGCAAATAGTTGAAGTAATCTTCGAATTTCCCAAACTGATTAGTAGCCTTTATTATGATTGAATTAAATTCAGACATTCCAGAAAGAACACCACTTATACCAACAGCAATTCTCGTTTCAAATGTAATACATTATATCTAGTTGGCCGTTTTTAATATCGGGTGACTAAAGATAGCTAAGCTTTTATTATGAAAGAATGAGGAGTTGTAGCTCAGTTGTATGCTTCTGGTTGTATTGTGTTCTCTGGGTGAGCTAAGTGGTTTAATTGGGAATCCTTCATTGTCGTTATAGATAGGATCAGTCCTCAGTTTGCGTACAAAAGGACTATTTGATAAATGCAGTTGGTATAAATATGGGTTTAATTACTAGCACAAACTGAAGTATAACACAAAACCGTTGAAACCCAACAAGTACATAATAATTTAAATGATATGCATCTTCAACTACATCTATGATGAATTTATTAAATGAGAAACCCAAAATGAGCACATTGCCCCTGGGTCACCAGACTGTAATCGAAGTGTTAGTATTTACCGATTTCAGTCAACCAACAATATAACACGGCCATCATCTGACCCTATCGGCTAGCAACTGTTTTTGATTATACTGCCTGACCAAAAACAAAATTACAGATTACCAAAACATTAAAAACGCGTGTGTATAGTTGGAGGGACCCAAAGTGAGATGAAAAAGCAGTGGGTTTTTTTAGCTAATGGTAATTTTAGACAGAAATTGTACTCAGACCAATCAGATTCTTTACAAACCGTATTGTTAACTCAATTATTTAATAGTGATAGGTGTAGAAATGAATGTACGGGAATTCTTTGAGTCGACGCTATCGTACCGTAAACCAAACTGCCAACTGTATGGATGCGGTTACTAATTATTTGAAATGAGAAGGGTATTACAGCCATTTACAAGAAATTTGCTCACAACCTAAATGTAAGTAATAAAGACTAAAATAAATTTGGACAAAAGATTTGTTAACTTTAATACTTGTTAGCTAAGCAACCAAATATTGTATCTATTTCACTTAGAAGTATGGATGAATATAAAGTAACCAAGGGAGAAATCAGTTAAATAATACTCTATTATCTTAGGTTTAACTGTTTCTAAGTGTACATTTTCCTTGGACCTGTGACAACTTGAGCTAACATGCTACTGTATAAGGCCCTGAAATTATTTAGTAATTACACAACATTCAAACAAGATCCATGCTAGATATCAGACTTAATATTTAAAGCTTAGTATAAAGTATGGTTAACTATAAACATATAGAGAATAAATCAAATGTAAATCAAAACTCGTTTGTAGACATGGACCATGACTTACACAAAAGGATTAGCAAAGGAAAATCGTTCTTGTAGATCAAGGGCGTCAAGAAACGGTAAATACTCACGACCATTTATAACGGACGTGGATCTCAATACCTCCAGTTCTTCGACAGTGAAACCGCCAGGGTCTATTAAAGAAAACGAGAAATCGGTTGATACCAAGTCTGAATATGATCAAATTTATGGAATATGTAGTATAAAAGTCTTAATTTGGTTGAGACAGAATTCTGATCGCTTTTTTAGCGGCAACTGATTGCACTGAAGGCCTTAGTAATGTACAGGCTCCTAGTAGAAATAAAGAATCAAGACTTAAGAAACAAGACGGGTGACTATATCAAAGATCAGCTATACCGTCATTATAAAGTGTGAAAACTTCTAAGTAAAAACAAAACGAAAATGAGATAACATAGTTTCATCGCTTAAACAACACGGTTCTTAATCGAAAGATACAAGAACTACTGTTAATTTTGTGTCCACATTTATTTATTTGTTTAAACACATAAACACTGGTACAAGGAGGCACCAAATAGATGTGCACCACATAAATCATTCGATTTATGTGAAGGTTGAGAAACTGCCTGGGTGTCCAACCCAAAGCAGGTGGTTTTCTTAGACGACCACACCCGGAGCCTTTGACCTAAAGGTTTAATCCACAAGACAGTGGAGCAACATCAGGAGATGCAGTCCCATGGTAGCCGGTAACCAACGATTGGTTAATACGCCATTTGTTCCCTCAGGATTCTGGAGCCCACGTGCATCATTGGTTTGGAATCAGGGTCTTCCAACTCACCTAGGTGGATCCTCCATATCGACCAACCCGGTTAAAGCGCTGGATATTCGCTTTTCATCTTCTCAATTTTGTAAAAAAAAAAAAACACCCGCACCGCAAGAAGGTAGTGAGTAGGACTTCCTTGGCAGTGGTTGTATGCACGTGGCCATTTGAGAGTATTTCAAGCATTCTGATGATATTTTTCAGTGTGTTATAATCGAACAATGGGCTTGATATGAAATACTAAATTGATGAAAGTGGCTTAGCTAAGAATTATTTACCCATAGAAATGATCCCTTGAGTTCAAACGATGAATAGATTTCAAATTAACGAACGTATGGCTTGATGGTAAAATGTATTAGGGAATCAAAGCTGTTATATTTATAGATAAAATGACCGGTACTTTAACCGGGTTGGTGGATCCACCTAGGTGAGTTGGAAAACCCTGATTCCAAACCAATGGTGCACGTGGGCTCCAGGATCCTGAGGGAACAAATGGCGTATTAACCAATCGTTGGTCCCCGGCTACGATGGGATTTATGTGGCACATATCTATTTGATGTCTCCTTGTACCAATGTTCATGTGTTTAAATAAACAAGTAAATGTGATTAAAAAATTAACTGTAGTTCTTCCATCTTTCAATCCACATGAAATTCCACAAAATAAACTACAAAAATCAAAAAACGGTGAAAATGTGAAGATATATTTACATCGATGAGTCAATAAGTAAAAAATATGAGCTACGTATTGTTTGGAAAGGTTTTCCATTGCGTTGAATTTACGTAAATGTCTTAAAAATTCTTGATGTCGTACGGTCTACATATTAACAGATTATTTTAAGTAACAACCAATAGTTACTTCATGGTTAGTTCAGTCACAAGTTATTTGATCACGAGAATCAATCGAGATTTTTCGTAAATCACGCTATAGTTAATAATAAAGATAGCTAACTTGAAAATGTAAAGTTAATTATTATAATCGATGACAAAAAGGCAACTGTGCTATCATTGAATTAGATGGCGAGTTTCATATTTTTTCCATTTGGTTAGCTATAAGTGTTTCGTCAGGTGCTGATTCTAAATGTATTACTGAAAATAACGGCCAATTATAGGTAAGAATAGTAACAAGCTAAAAAAATTAAAAACCAACCTCCTTTCAAAGACGAAGACATATTGGGTTTATGAAAACCGTGGGATTTCTTAGATGCTCCTGATGTTAAAGTGCTACAAGAAGAACGGGAATCAGAACAAGGAGGCTGTGTTCTTTGAACATATGCCTTTAATTCTTCTGCCCTAGAAAGCTGGAATTAATTAAATAATATTTTAATACCGATCTAAACCCCTTTTGGAAAATGTTTCAATGGATTTAAGTAAAGAGGGATCCTGGACATCACGTTTCTATGCACATTTAATTAACTAAATCCAGAGGATTTACTATGGATAACATTAACTCTACAGCCAATGTGTAGAGCTCAAAAGCCTTGTGGAAGTTTCCTTTTTCATCTTCCGTAGTACCATCATCCAGTAAGAAAAGAGCCCTTGCAAAATCAGCCTGATGCATTAAATTAATCACAAATGTAACCAGACTTTGCTTTTAGAAATATGAGAGTTCGGTATGGAAGTATCTTCCACTACAGTTTTTGATTTGAGTTCTTTCACTTTGTTGTTGTAATTCTGGGCTAATTCTAATAAACCTTCAGTTTTTGAGCCTGCTTCCAAAGAATTCAAGAGTGCTTGAGCAGCTTCCTAAAAGTGTTAATGATTTAATCAGCCATCTACAGTGTAGTAAAATACAGCAGATCTGTATTGTTTCCGAGACTCTTCCCACACTGCAAGTCTTTTGAACCAATCGGCATCTTTCTCCAACTCATGAGGATTAGCCATTGACTAATCCAATCACCCGATAGAATGCTTCTTTTAATCAAAACACGCAAGTGTTCACCACTAGATAAATTACCTAAAAGACAATACGAAGAATAATAGGAAGTTTGAAGAATTATTGTGGATGTGAAATCGAATACAACGTATAGGGAAGAAAAGTGATTTTGAAATTTATGTATTAATTTACTGAGGTTTTAGCTTAGCAAGTTCTGTTCAATGAATTTCAGTCGCATTAATTTACTCTGCATTCAGTTAGTTATTTGATTTTTAATGGACTGTTCTTGTAGTAATCTATTTACTGTAACTTTGTGTTCAGTGACAGTTGTTCAAATAATGAAATTCGGTAACTAACAAATATAGATTATCGGAAGGGGTTTTGTGGAGATTTTAGATATTTCACTGGTTGAAATCATGAGTCAATTGAAGCTAGACCACCATGGAAAACCATGAAGCACTGGACGGCCGTTTCGTGACTGACTTCAAAAGATACTCCTGGAGTTCTTGTGAGAAGCCGTTACCAGTGGAGTTCAACCAGGTCGGTTATGGGATATCAACTCACTGAAGAAAATGGTGTACGGTGGCGCAACTTCGTGGATTGGTTGAAGTTAGACATTAACACCGTTGGATGCCGGCTCAGTGGTCTAGTTGATTAAGCTCCTGGCGCGAGACTGATAGGTCCTGGGTTCAGATCTCGCGTGGGCAGGATCGTAGGTGCGCACTGCTGAGTCCCATACTAGGACGAGACGGTCGTCCAGTGCCTCCAGGTTTTCTATGGTAGTCTAGCTTCAATTGACTCATGATTTCAACCAGTGAAATATAGATTAATAGATAAACAAGCTAGCTGATTTAAGTGTAGTCCGATTTTCCGAGGTCTCCACGAAGAAAAGCTTGTATACAAATTCGGACTTCTAATTAAAGGCAGTGGACAGTTATGAAGTTAGATATCTCGTTTATCGTACTGAAGTCAAAATTGTCAATAATCAGTTTAGTGAACAATCATATCAAAGATACCCAGCATTCCGAAAGAGCAATAAGACTAATTTCCCTAAATACATAGAACTATTAGGCGACATAATCACAAGATACTGAGGATTAGTAGGATTCAAGGCATGTGTAACACTGACGACATCAAAGTATTAAGTTCAATATCGACAAATACATTACATTCATGTCATAATAAATTTGAGACCTAACGACCATAGCAGGAGAAATAGATTCATGATATCGGTATTAAGAATGACTGGTTACACCTAAGAGTAACTTTTAGAAGTCTTGCAGTAAAGTTATTTTGGGAGAGGAGTAATCAATGTTTTATGTATACTTGTATAATTTACAGAGCTATATCTGCTGTACCTGAGGGCAGGACGTAAGGTAGTAAGTTTAAACACTGGATTCAAATACAGTACTGTAGACTTTCACAATCCAGCTTCATTGCAAATCACACCTTCAAATGCATTAGGAAAAGTCAACTAATGTCGTCTGATGAAAGGTGATCATACTGTGTTGACTTTAGGACTAAGACTCATGAAGTAGTTTTGAATCCCAACACTGAACATGTGACCTAATTGTCCAAGTGTAGCATTCTAGGAATAAAGACAGTGTTGATGGAAACAGGAACAAGCTTTATAATGAAATCCAGGAAAGAATACTAATGTTTATCTGATGAACATCTTTATACAGGATTTCCACAATTCTCTATTGATTTTCAGGTGGGTCGAAAGGTTTTTATTAGAAATAGGCGAGACTATAATTTATTGACGAACCAATCAGGTATAAGATAATAGGCCTCGGATATTGGCGTGGAATTCACTCATTCAATTTGGTTAAATAGAGTTTTGGCATTATAGCTGATGTCAGTTCGTGATGAGAACCCTAAATCTAATTCCTAACGTTAATCATCAACTGTAAGACACAACTCTAACTCCTTACACAGGTTTAGAACCCTCATTCGATCATAGATATTAGGTGGAGACTCTCAAGGTCAGTCTAACTTAGCTCAAAGGTCGTCCATAAATTATTGTCTCACCGAGAAGTATACTTGAGATATGACCTAAGTGCCACGTCCAGAAATAGACACTGAAACCACAGAATTTCCTTATTTTGGGGAATTTTCCTACGTTTACATAGCGCATTCCACAAAACGGATAAAAATTTCCCCGGAATAGGGAGATTGGGCTAAAATTCTGAAGTAGATGATTTTTTAACAATAAAAAAGTCAATGATTCCGTAATATTCATGTTTATAAGAATTGATGTTTAATGACGACTATAAGCATAAAACTTAAAGGCTCACAAAAATGGGACACGTGACACAATCAGGTGTTCCTTACGGGGCGAAGCTGCAATTAATGAACAAACTAATCAGATATAAGATAATCGGTCATAAATCTTGACGGGAAATTCATTCATGCAGTTGGCTAAATAGCTTTGCATTATAGCCGATGTCATTTCGTTATGAAAATTCAGTCTAGTTTCTAGCTCTAACCCTAATTTAGTCCCTATCAGGTGTCCATTCTCAAAGTCACTTCAGCGTCGCTCAAAGGTGGTTCATATATTCTAGTCTCACCTCTTACACTCTAAGGTATATTCTTGATTGCGAAATGGTCTTGAAAATCAAGACCCAAACATTACCTGTTACGTGTCGGTGATTAGTTTCACAAAACGCTAATACGTATATTACAGACTATATGAATTTACTAAGATATTAATATGAAAACACTTTCAAGTAAGGGTTGCAACAATTAACATTCACTACCCATCAAAATGAGGATTTCACAGAGTATGACTTACATTCGTTCCTGCGTCTCCTAGATTCAATATTTTTTGGTTTATAAGGAAGTCACTAATCCGGATTAAATGCCGCTTCCTGATAATTTAACACAACACTACCCTATGATACTACTAATACGACGAACTCGATTGGCTGCGAATGACCTTACAAAGGTCTTTCCAGCTAACCAGAAAATACAGGTAAAACAAACAAACAATTCAGTGCAGAAAGCCATGAGAGGTTAGGCTTTGAGAGTAGGTAGAGGTTTTAAGTTAAGGTATATCAGAAGAATACACTTCATCAACAGTAGTGATTACTCATGCATAGAATCTGTTCCATTTCGCATAAGAAAATCAAATCATTTGCTTGTGGATCCTCCGAGTTCATCTTTATTATTTTGTCATGATTATTAACACTGGTGGGTTTTCTCAGACATTGAAAGTGTCCAAGCTAAGTGATTATTCTCCGAGTTTCACAAATCACGTAAACGCTATGTTAAGTTCTCCTTCTTAACCAGTATATACGGTTTTGCCACAGAGAAATCAGCAAGTACACGAATAACGTTTGCAACTCGAAAACAATTATAGGTCTGAAAACTACACAGGCTTGTAATGAGTCACAAATGACTGGCGTTATAGCCCTCTGCAGTCGTTTCTATAAAAGGCATTCAAAAGAAACATCAAAATTCAACATTTGGGATTGGCAATAGTTTGTTAACAACGATATCTATACTTTCAGCTTATTGAGCAATAATGTAATTTGTAGGCATTATTTTCGGGGTACCGAAGTGGTTATGAAGCATGTCAGCAAATAACTGCGATCAAAACAGGGTTCGGAATTGGAGTGGGGAATTATGACGAGAACCTGTAGTGGCATTGAACCATAACCACACAATCCACAAAGCTGAATACGAGACTACTCAGAAAATAGATACTCAATATTTTTAACGCGGAGAAATACCTAACAACGGAAAAGGCGGGAACAATGAGTTGAAATAATTGGAGTTCATCGGCGTGGTCCCTGGGGAATGTTACCTTATATCGTTTATCCATAATAAATATATTGTTCTATCTCTAGCCTAAGCTTCCTCTCCATTATGTATTGGTAATTGTCACAATGCAGTGAGTTGGTGTAGACGATGGTGCGACTTCCATGTAAGGTCTTATAGATTAGACAGTTATATCATGACAAGTCTACAATTTTAGGATTAGATCTATTTTTAGAGCAGTACTAATATCATAGTGGACCATAATGTTACGGGAGAACTGAAGACATTTGGCGGATTAAAACCTATTGTTGTACATTAATAATTTACTGTGATTTTGGATGTAATTGTTTTACTTAACTTTTGAACTTGTTTGTTTATATCATTATTTTCGGACATTTTGGTTTGGTATTTTGGTGCTCTCTTTGTCTCTGGTTTGGTATTTGGGAGTTTTGCTCCGAAAACCTACAAAATTGAAGGTTTGTTTTGTAATTGTTATAATTATTGTTGTTAGAACACCATTTGGTCGATTATTTGTGAATTACGAATAAATTTGGTATCTAAATTGGAGCTTGGTTCTGTTGTTAATTTGGGTTCGTAATTTGCAAGTAGATCGGTAGTCCGTACTTCAATAACTGGAACGAGCAAAACTTGGACGTAACAAAAAGTTCTTCAATTATTGGTTCTGTGTTCATACCTAGGATTTGTCTGGTATTTTGGGTCCAAATTCCTGGTCTTATTGGTCGATTTCGTTTGGATTAATTCAGATTTGTTTTGGTAATTGATTATTTGGATTAACAAATACGATGGAAACACGGAGCAAAAGGCTGAAGGAAAATGACGAAATGGATGGTAAAATTTCTAAAGCTGTTTGTGGTATGTCTGATGTTAATGATGATAAGTGTGATGTTAGTATTAATAGTATGTCCTCTAGTCAGCTTAGTACCTCTAGATTAAAGTTAGATAAAGCATTACTGAGGAGAAGGAATTTAGAGAAGAGACGTGAATTAGAACGGAAACTTAAGATGTTAGATCTACAAGAAGAGGTTGATATCGCTGAACTAGAATGCAAGGCCATCGAGGACGATGAACGATTACCCGTAGATAAATGTGGGATAAATGCTCAAGTGGGAAATTATTTGGAATGTGATACTGGGTGTAATAATCACTCAGAGAAGGTATGTAACATCTCAAATATTGATTGGGTTGAGGAACTGAAGGATACGTTACATACAATGGTTAGTAACATGGTTTTACCTAAGATCGATATGATGTACTTTGATGAGCAACCGGGTCAGTATTACCGTTTCATTAGTCAGTTTAATAGCCTTATAGAGAGTAAATTGTCAGATAAGGGCCAACCGTTGTCGTATTTGTTATATTATTGCAAGGGAAAGGCCAGAACAGCAATTGAATCTTGCGTTTCTTTGCCCAGTCATTTGGGCTGTGATAGGACTAAACGAATTTTGTATGATTTATTTGGTAAAGAACATCTTGTTGCACGAGAACTAATTATTGAGTTATTAAACCATAAATCTGTCGGAGGATCAGCTGACTTATTAACTGACTTTGCGATTAAGTTGCGTAATGTATGTATAACGTTGAAGGAAATGGGACACATGTCTGACGTTAATTCTACGGCTAATTTGGATGTAATAGTTTCATGCCTAACACTAGAATTGCAGAATAAGTGGGTGGAAGTCGCCGATAAGATCATGATACATGAGAAGGAGCCGAGCTTTGAAGAATTTGTGGTCTTTGTAGAAGAGAGGGCCAGAATTGCCCGAACCCGTTATGGTAGATTAGTACAGTGTAACTCAAGGTTCGGTAAAAGGAATTCTGAAGGCCAAGCTGATAGGGGATCACGCTTTCATGCAATTAGACGAGACCCAAATAACTCAGTCAAGGTATCACGTTGTGAAATCTGCGTAGGTGATCATGAGGCGACAGACTGTCCAAGGTTAGCAAAAATGAATGTAAGAGAAAGGAGGCAGGAGGTAAGAAAACGTGGTCTATGTTACTTATGTTTGAGGAAAGGTCACATAGCTATGACATGCAACTCAGGCTTCAAGTGCGACGTTGAGAATTGCAAGGTTAGGCATAATTCATTATTGCATATTGATATTATTGATGACCATGTGGTGAACGTAGCTAAGGATTGGAACTCCTCAAAGGTTTGTTTGGGGATCGTTCCAGTCAGACTATACGGTCCCAAAGGATGTTTAGAAACATATGCACTTCTAGATAGTGGTTCGGACACTTCTCTTGTATGTGAAGAATTAATTAATCAGTTGGGTATCAAAGGTAAAGAGACTTCGATAAGGGTGGCGACTGTGAACGGAACTACCAATTGTGATTGTTTGGAGGTAAATTAAGAGGTATTTTTATTAGATGAACGGGGTTCTATAAGGATCAACAAAGTTTACACGACCAAGAAAATTCCGATCGATCATGCAGCACCTTTAACCGAACTCCAACTGAAACGGTGGGAACATTTAAAAGACATAACCCTTCCGAGGTTGCAAAGTAATTTTGTAGGAATATTGATTGGGTGTGATGCTCCGGATGCACACTGGGTCCTGGAACAACGTCTGGGGGACAGGAAGCATCCGTTTGCTGTACGTACTCATCTCGGTTGGATGATTATAGGTCTTAAGGGAGTATCAAGGTCTCTACATCAAGTTAAGTGGTGTCATTGTTCCACTAATGATATTTTGCGAGATTTAGAAAGATTATATAATCATGAGTTCGAGGATACAGATACATTTCGTAATGGATGTTCTGTCGAAAATAAAAAAGCTCTAGAAATAGTTAGCAGTTCGTTTAGATTGGAGGGTGGTCATTTCCAAGTTGGTCTACCATGGAAGTATGATAAGCCAAGACTACCGAATAATTTGGAACTAGCTGAACGCAGACTGGAATGCTTAAGGAAGAGGTTTATGAAAGATAACAGTCTTCTGGAGAAATATCAAGTTGTAATGAATAAACATTTAAGTAAGGGCTACATCATTGAAGCTGGTGAAGAGGGATTTGACTGTGATTCTGTTTGTTGGTATATTCCTCATCATCCTGTTATCAACCCTAAAAAGCCTGGAAAATTGAGAATTGTTTTTGATTGTGCGGCTGTCTATCAAGGTTGTTCTCTTAATGACCAGCTTTTGAGAGGACCGAATACTGTAAATAGTTTAATTGGTGTACTTCTACGATTCAGATTAGGTAACGTAGCATTAGCTGCTGATATCGAAGAGATGTTTCTTCAAGTAAAGATCCCGAGACAAGATAGGGGAGCGTTTCGTCTATAGTGGTGGGAAGACGGTGATATAAGACGAACGGCTAAGGAATATTGTTTAACAGTTCATCCGTTTGGAGCCATGTCCTTCTCCTTTTGCGCTAATTTCGCTCTTAAGAAGACGGTAGATATATTCGGTAAGGAATTTAATGAAGATATCCAGGAAGTCGTACATAAGAGTTTCTATGTCGACGACTATTTAGCCTTCATTGATAATGTACAGGATGCAACTGGACTGGCAAAAGCCCTTAGTTTGCTTCTGAAAAAAGATGGGTTCAGACTTACGAAGTGGATAAGTAAGTGTTTGCACGTTCTCGAATCAATTCATCCAGAAGAGAGAGCAGAAGGCGTAAGAGAGATTGACTATGAAATACTTCCTTCGGAACGCACGTTGGGATTATTTTGGAATACTATGGTTGATTCGTTTGAATTTAAAGTTAACATACCGAAACGCCCTATCACTAGGCGAGGTATACTGTCAAATGTAGCCTCACTTTACGATCCTCTGGGATTGGTAACACCGTTTATACTTCCCATGAAGCAGTTACTTCAACATTTAGGTAAATTGGGACTACGATGGGACGAAGAGATTCCAAATGAGGAAAGCAAACGTTGGTCAGAGATTTTAAGTGATTTCAGAAGGTTGAGAACGTTAGTTTTCCACGTTGTGTATTGTTTCTGCAATCAGATCGCTCGCTCCTGGAACTTCACATTTTCAGTGATGCATCGGAAACTGGATATGGTGCAGTGGCATACGTCCGCTCTTACATTTCTGGCCCTGAAATATGTTCTCGTCTTGTTACGGCTAAGGCAAGAGTAGCCCCCTTCAAGGTCCAAACTATACCGCGCTTGGAACTTACGGCAGCAGTTTTAGCAGCTCGCATGGGATACCGCCTGCAGTCAGGATTA